TATTGCTTAATAAGAGAAGATATAACGATTTAATTATACACAAAAAAAATCGAAAAATATAATTGGTTGCGAAAATGTTTAATGTGTTAAATATTTAACAAAAATACAGTTACTTCAAATTAATTCAAACTTGAGCGTCAATAGGGACCAAGCGGAGAAAAAATAGGGACAGGGAGCTTGCGTGGCTTGTACATGACTTTCCACGCGATCGCGTGGACAATCAGATTAATCGTTTACACATAGATACAGTGCATGATCGTACGACCATGGAGATCAGCTCTTTCGATTTATCGAGGGTACTTAACTTTTTCCGTTACAGGTTTACAACAACCATCGCTTCGCGCTCTGTAGAGTATTGTTTGAATTAACTGTGCTCTGACTATTCGCGTATTTACTATTAACAACAGTATTATTTAGAGCATTATAAAATCGCATTCTTTAAGATTTCAAGAATCACCAAGTGCTTATTAAATATGAAACAATTACTTCAATGTAATCAATATTGTTACTAATGAACGAACTTTTGAATTTATTGCTTTTTAATCTGCCTTGTGTAATTTTTCAAATGGCCATTGAAAAATTTTAGAAGGAAAAAATATATCAACGAGACCTCCTTTAAAATATCAATCCGAGAAATATTGGTGGCAAATACATATTTTTCATAATATTTTGGATACTTCAAGTTACGTTTCAAACGGACTCCAAGTTTTAAGAAATGTTTTTCTTAATTATTCTTAAAATATTTTTTTTAATACAAAGATTCAATAAACTGCGAAAAATATTACTTATAAATATTTATTTTAGATATAAACGATGATACTAATAAATTGTCAAAACAATGTTTTTCAAATGAATTCTTTTAATAGATCGGGTATCCGATACAAAAATACACAAAGGAAATCACAATAAACTCGTACAATCAAATTTTGAAAGTATATTCGTTTTTTCAACATTTAATCCAATGTCCAATATAAATCTCGGTAATCTCGTCGCACAAAAGCAAGAACTTTAGATTTCTCTCTAAGGACGTGCAAAATAATGTTAATTCGAGATTACAACTGTCAACTATGTTCGAGTCGAGAAACAAAGAATAACAATGAATGTTTAAGAAACCAATTTCAATAGCGTAACCTCTCGGGAAAAGATGATCCGCGTCCGCGTTCACGAAAAATCCCATCGAGTGTAATTTCGCGCGAGCCACACAATAAAATTACGTTATGTTCGGCCCAATCGTCAGTCTAAATCGATCGTTTCAACTCGCGTCCGGTCTGCCGCAATAGTTATAATCATTTTCGCGTAAAGAGGAGGAAAAAAAATGGTCGGAACGAGCGACTCGAACGAATCGTTCGCCATCAACATAGCCGTGACCCTCGTCAACGCCATCATCAATTACATCTTCTATCGTATCGTCGTGTCGATCATACTCATCATCAAGGAGACGCTCATCTGGATCCTCGGCAAAACCGAGACGATCTTCGAGACGGCCCAAGAGAAGCGCGTCAGTCTGGTCGGCAAATCGCGACAGAGGGACGAGTCGCCCGATGAGTACATCATAACTTAGTTAGAAGTAAAACCCTCGTCTCGATTCTACTTCACAGTAAATGATTTACTTTCTTCTTGGCTTTCAATTAATCCGCGATAAAATCATGAACTTGTGGTTTCTCCGATTGTCCATATGCATAGATCGATCATGGTCAGCGTAACGGGAACGGATTACAGATGGCCCCGAGCCCTTCCATTGAAAGTACTGCCACCGCAACCCCCGCTGCGAGTCAAGCGCAATTTTTGCTCGGACGCCAAGGCTCGCGCCTGCCGAGACAGCGAGCACGATTGCAGCGGCGAACGCCGCGCGGACTATCCCCGCTGCGAAATGATCGATGTCGATGCGAGACGCAGCGTCGAGAGGATCTCGTTGGACGACGAGGACGATTGTCCTCGGATGAGCAGAGATGAGTACATGTCGAAGCACGACAAGGACAAAAAAAGAAAGAGGCGAGTTCGAGATTATCGCAGTCGATTCAAGAGTACCGTCCAAATGGGTTTCGGAAAAGACGATACGAAGATGCGAGGCTACACGGATCCGTTTCACTTCTCCGACACGATCGAGAAGGAATACGTACTTCAAATAAAATACAAATTCCCAGGCAATGATCCTACCAAGCGTAATTGCGGTCAAAACTAGGTAAACATCTATGCAGGGGTCATTACGCGAAAGCATAGCTCACAACTATCGAGTCCCTGTGTAGAGATTGCGTATTTTACGTGGTTACGTTACGGATTACTTATGTGTGTATGTGTGACTATCGATGTATGTATCCGACGACGTGGTAAGCAGTAACAGTTATGCTGTCTGCATTGCGTACTTACGGTTTGACGTCTCGCCGTTGCTTACTTGCTCTTGAATAACCCCAAATTGCCTCGAGCTTGACAACATCACGATTTGTGATCTAATTGATTTAGTTTGCTTTCAAAAGTGTTTACGTCTAATTTTTTGTGACTCTAATACCGACTATTTCACCGCTTTTGAGAGGTTAATTAATTCTGTCTTACCTCAATCGATTCATTTATAGAAGGAAAATATAAATTGACAAACGTGCTTCAAGTTAAATCGATTCAAATACACAACATGAATTTTGTTAATAAAATAGTTGGATTCTTCAGTTACTTGTACTTCAGGTACACGCTAGTCACTGAACTCTATATGGTCGAGAAATGGGAAAGAAATTTCATCAGTATCCTTTTTTAAAATCAGTCCATTAGTGAAACAGCTCATGGATAAATGTACGGCAAAAATTTTTTGCCCAAAGAGATGAACTTGTCAAATTTTTCTTAATTCAAGGTTTACAGATTTTTTCTTGATTGCAATGTTTTTTGCAGTGCTATATTTCAACTACAGAGTAGTGCTGCCAGTAACATCTTACCTATTCATAGAAAATTGAACAACTGAGAATTTTTCGTACTGTCCTTTGTAAATAAATGTGGCTAGATTTTTGAAAAAATTGCAACCATGTTGTTAGTTACTGGAAATTTTAGTTTTGTTTAATAAAAAAACTATATGTGTATAAATGACTTAAGTTTATAAATAAAAAAAAGTATTTGAAAACTCTAAAATTGTACAGATTTTAATTGAGAAATTCAAATGGGGTCAAGGTAAATTCAAAAATGAATAAATTCACCAATTATACATAATGAACCTGATTATATTTACTCACAATAATATCTTCTCACCACATCATTACTAAATTAAACTAGTAGCTAAAGTACGTTTTGTTTCTTACCAAATAAGTTGAATATACAATTCCATGATGTTAATTTTTTGAATACCTCTCAAACATTTTTTTACACTTTTCACTACTCAACAATTTAATCATATAGTATACTTTGAATGATCATGCGTCAAGAATATATATTCAATATTGGTTCACAAGTGAGCGTTTACATCTAACACTCCACTGTTTAACTAATATTAACAACAATTTCAATAGGCCAAATGTACATTCTCAACATTAAATTTACTAGTCATTCTTCATTTGACAGATTTGCCTCAAAATATATATAATAATTATTTCATTTTTGTATACTTTTTTACAGATAGTAATTTATTACAGCATTACAAATTTTTCTGAAATAAATGATTAAGGTATTCACTACATAGTTATTCAACAATTTTTTTCCCTACATTAAAAATTGTTTTTTACTGTATAAAAAAATTACATTCACGTTCCATTGCACTAAAGTTTCAATCAAATAAAGGAAGCTCTTTTACACATACATCAACCATTCAAATTATGATTATTTTAAGGAATTATTTGTGATCAATCCTCTTGTAAACTACTTACAACTATAATTTCATACATTCTTACTTACAACGTATTATCTTATCGAAACTTAGTCTATTGCGGAAGATTTCAATGTTTCCTTGGATCAAAAAAAAAATATACAGTCAGTTTACAAAAATGCATTTTGAAAATTCTTATGAGTGTATACCTTGATAACTAGTGCAGAATTTCAATGATTGATGAAAACAAACTTGCTAAATTATATGAATCTCCATGAAATTTACATAACGTTAAAACTACTTTTAAATATGAATTTATATTACCAAATTGTTTTGATTAATAATTGTATTATTAACCGTTTACCCGTTCTTTCAGGTGCTGGCAATGCATGTTTTATCTTTTTCTTATTGAATCGTAAAATTCAACTGATCAAACAATTTCGATCAATTAAATTTTTGAAGCTTTTTAAGGAAGCATCATCTTACTAGCAAGGCACTGAGAATTTCGAACTTCTTCAATAGAAAGCAGCGACATGTTAGTATAAGTTATGCATACAAACTGACTGTATAAGTGACATTTACTTGCCAACAAATTAAGTTTTCCAATTTTCAAAGCTCGTTTGAGGTATAATTCTTATTGAGTAAAATGTAATACTTGCAACTACCTACAATGTGTCTTCAATTAGGCCATGGTCAATTTCGGAAAAGCTAATTTTACGTCATTTTTATGCTTATATAAACAGGAATCATTGTGTAGTCATAATTATTCCAGAATCTTGGAATATCTGCACAATATTCCGCAAAAAACCAATTCTTTTTGACTGTAGTTCAAAAAAATCATGCATTAAATAAATATATATATTGTATGTGAACACAATATAGCCAAACATTCAAAAATTATAAATATTCACATAAAAGTAAAAAATTACTTTGCGCACACAAGTTTGCAATGTTATTTTAATACTTGCACAAAATATTCATTCAAACAGTATTAATGAATTTTGATCAATATGAGAACCAATGCAAAGTTATCACATTCTCTCATTTAAATACACAACGTTTGATTCTCTTTTTTTATACAACCATTTCATTCGCAACTAGACATTACATTTCATTAATAAAAGTAGGCACAATAGGAATTGCATAAATCCAGCTTTTTCATGACTTTCACAGACACCACAAATAACTAAAAAGGAGAAATTAATGAAAATCAATGAGTAAGTGTTTTGCATGTATCAATAAAATTAATATTACATCTTATGTGTAAAACGCATCTTGTTAAGCATGAGTACTACAAATCGGCTCTTATTTTATTTATGTTTTTATGTTTGTATTGCTATTTCATACGCATGATTGTAAGAGTTAAATAATTGTAAATATGTACGTGCAGCTATTGCCTAAGTATTAATTATTTATGATTAAAACAACACTTGTCAAAAATTGTGCAATTTTATCAGTAACATGACAATAGCGAATGTGAAATTTCTTTTGCATGAATCGAAAGTTCGTAACTTTGAAAAAATTCAACTCCATATGATTGTAATTATAATGATTTAAAAGTGTACAATCAAAATAAGGACAAAAAAATATTAAATCCAAGTAAACAATTTGCGATTTACTTGCGATATATGTACAAAATTTATAATAATACAGATAAAATGCGAGCCAAACTTTTTCTTAAAAAGAAAAATGTGATGTGGCGTATAATGCCTATTGTAAAATGAGAATTTCTAAATTCACTCATTGCCTCCACGAATGAAGCTATGACAATTTAGACGCAATTAAATTGTAAATATGTACAATCGTAAGTATTATAGTAACGACGAAAAAGCAGAGCACTGACTAATACCATAGTATAACTAATTAGTGCATCCCTGTAACGTCCTAATGTATCAGAATAACTGTTTCATCTTTCTAGTGATTACACATATAATCACGATTTAAAAAAAAAGTTATAATTTTATATTTTTATGCTGAGATATTACTAGTGCATAAGTAATTGTACATGATTAAAATTAAGTGACATACACTTACTAATCATTACAAAGTCTTTCTCTACTTAGCACATTAGAGAAAGCACATTTTCACCATTTATTGTATTAATAAAATTATATTTCTACGTTAGATTAATGGCTAATAAGCCATATTATATATCTCATTATATATAATTGTAACCATATTCTTATGAACACATCGTACAAGCTAAACGCTCGAAAAAGCCAATCCACTCCGAATTTTTTTCGAGGAAAAACAAATGTTCGTTTGAAATAGATTCGGAAAACAGAAAGAAGCACTGAATGTAAAAAAATCATATACAAATCGTCGGAAAATTACAAAGCGAGTTTTGTAAAATTTGAAAACACTTTGGTTTCTTAGAACCGTTGAGAGATCACGGTTGGGATTTTTCGATCGATTCAATGAATTATTCTTATATTTACTACTAGGTATCGAATCACGCAGGCAAGTACGGCATCGACTTGGCATTATCCGTCGTTTGCAAATCGCTCTCAATGTCCAATCGGCGCACGCGCACCCTCTGCTTGTAATGATACTCCTTTAAGTAGGTCTTCAAGCTCTTGGGCAACTGTAGCCTGTTGATGCCGTCGTAGGTCGTACGACTGCTGATGACGGCGCGGCAGAGATGCTGCAGCGGAAAGGCGAAATTACGGTGCAGCGGTATCGTGAGCATAGGCTCGAAGAACATGCAGCACGACGGGTCCTTGTAGTGCTCGATCAGGCCGCAGACCGTGTTGGACGCGTAGACGCCGGGATCGTGACTGTCGAAGCTGAACTTGTGATTCCACTGTTCGATGCGGGCGTGCAGCGATCGGCCGTACTTGCGAAAACTGACGGAGAAGAGGAACTCTTCTTGGGCCGAGTCTCGCAGTAAAAACGTGCCCTCCTGCTTGCCGTCGAGAAGCCTCTCGGCCTCGTAACGATCCATTTTGCCCCAGTAAAATGAACACGTCGTTATAGACTTGAGATCTGGTACGAGGCAGTGTACGTAATCCACCTGGATCGAATGCATTAGTTTTATTAGTTTTAAACACGGTATTTAAAGCACGAAACGATAATCTGCATGAATTTATTGAACTTCATGCTCATTATTACAAGTGTATCGTCGTAAAAACAGTCGACGATCGTACGAGCGCTTACCTGCGTGTGAATAGGCCGTTCGATATTCGATATGAGAGTACAATCGATTTGCGACAGAGCCGACAAAGCCGCCGCCTGTATTCCGGCGTGCGACTGGAACAACGCGGCCAGACTGTCGACCGTGATTCCATTGGGATGCATTTGCTGGATGGCGTTATTATTGTCGCAAACGTTATTATTGCTGTTGTTATTGACGCTGTCCTTGCTGCAGCTGCTCTGGGGTCTGAAACCGGGCGGCGGTTCGACACCCTCTTCCATCTCGCGGGCTCGTTGCAATCGAGCCTGTGCGTCGCAGTCCTGAGATACAAAAAAAAATTGAAAGATTAATCGTTGCAAAAGTTTAGTCAAGTGTTTCTTGAGAAAATTCAAGTTTTCTTTTTGTTCCCAACGTGTAAAACAATGTGAACGAGGTTTTTTTAAATTGAGATTATACAATACTTTTCGTAATGTATGTAATGTTAATATGCAATGAGGTACAAATGCGCAGTTGAACTAAGAAAATGACAAGGCCAAAATTTCTTTTCCAAGCGCACACTTTAGATTTTAAAGTACCCGCAAAAATTACAATGCTTAAAATTCAGGCGTAAAAACCAAATTTTTCAATAAATTCTGAAAAGATTAAAAACTAATGAAAGCGTTTAAAAGGCGATGAATCCACATTCACTATAAAATGCCACTTTCAACAAATCGGAAGTACTTTAGTATGTGTTCTTTGCTACTTCCTGCGCGTGAGTCACGTACTTGTGGTCTAATAAGTGCGATGACGTCACGGGCGTCCAATGCGCTTCAGCTTCTTATTATGAAATGACGCAAAAATTCCGTAGAGCCCAAGAAAGAAAGAGAGAAAGAGTAAAGAAACGCGTGAGAAAACAGATACGACATATCTTATCGCACGTGCGTATGCGAGTCGAGTACAGGATTGAACGTGCGCTTGTTCAAGCGGGTCTCAACAAGTCTGTGCAGTTCGAAACACTCGCTCAGATTATCAATAAGGATGCATGCGAATAAGAGGAGAGGAAAATATTTTTTAACGTACGCGTGTAGCGTGCCATGCTCACTTGCTAAGATTATCTATTTCATTGATTGTTATTGTTGAATCAATAAAATCATAAATATCGATAAAAAAAATCATGCATACCTCCATGGAAAATTCTTCTGGATTGAATCGCGATAAATCTATAACCGGACTAGGTGGTAATGGACCAAGTACTGGGCTTTGTGGCGCCGATCGACTACTTTTGAAGATAACTCCAGCTCCCATGGGGTGATCGTCGGTGCGCCTGTACCCGGTACATACACATTCGGCTGCTGCGCCAGGTATATCGGTGCTCTTGGAGCTTTTGCTTTTCGTGCAATTAAACTTTAGAACCCAATTGCTACGCTTCTTTTTTGACGAGAGAACGTGACTGCATCCTGGTGTTTGATCCTTACTTCGTTGTTTGCCTAAACATGTAAAATCTCATTAAATAATACATTTTTACTAAAATTCTAATAAGGAATATCACAAAATTTCAGTAAATTTTACCTTTTCTTCTTCCAAACGACAAAGTTTTTGATGATCTTCTTAAAGCAGGATTACCTGAATTATCTTCAGAACTACTGCTTGTGCTACTACCACCAGAATTGCTATTACCTGCCTCAAACTGTTTCAAAGCTTCTTGTTCGCTGGCTAAAAAGTTACCATTACTAGATTGACATTGTTTAGCTTCTTGCGCGTCTCTATGCTGACTATACAATGTTTCAAATCTTGAATTGTGATTGCTTATATCTGAATCCAATCGAATATTGTCCAAACGTTCTTCTGATTTACTAATTCTGCAACGAACTTCATTAGGACTTATATTTGATGGTAAATTATTACCATTATTTTCCTGAACAGCTAAGTCAGTTGGATGACTTCTTTCCGGTGTATCGGCATAAGGACAGTTTCGTACTCGATATCCTTTGAGCGAATGTTTATGACTGTCCATTGTAATGGTTTCTCTGAGACTAGCAAAATGCTGTCCCATTGTTAGATTTAAGAACGAGCATTTTTTTTCTTTTGTTTTTGATCAAATTGTACTTTGTTCTTGTTTTGATCAAAAACATGCAGATTGACTAGAAGTTATTCACCATTATCCGATTCAACTTCAAACAGCAATTTCAATCTGTAACATATAACATCTTTCATAAATACATTTATTGTATCATATTATATTTATAACATTATGTTTCTGTTAAAAAATTACTCATGAAAATCAAAAAAATGTATAATTAAAAAATGTAGTAATTTTTAAATATAGATTCATAAAGACATAAAATGTGATTTGATACTAGTTACTACTTGCATTAAAAAAAAACGAATAAAAAATTGATTAATTTTACTGAACATGTGGAAGACTAATTACTCAGAGCAATGAATGACCTTAACTTCATTCAAACTTAAAAAGTCAGCTGAGAATACTATCACTATAAGATATAAAACGTCTTGTATGATATTTGGAAAATTTCATGCATTTTATCACGCGACAAAAAAGACAGGAAATGCAAGATTCAGAAATAGTTTTTAGTGATTTTTTTCATTAATCATGTCAAAATGAAAGCGTAATAAATAAATAAAAATAATATGAATAAAAACTTCATTCGTTCGTTGTAACTGCAGTCTCAAGCACGTTATTTTAAAGTCGTTAAACTGTCACTATTCGACAAGGAAGCGTGACTTGAAGTTATTGTTAGAAGGAAAAAAAAAGAAGTTTATTACCAAATAATTTTTCGCGATGTTCGTTACGTCAATAATGAAAAATAACTTAATAATCAAGGCTGATAGCGATCGAGTAATTTTTCTTATCAGTCGAAAGGAATAACAACAGACGATACACGATCGCGCAAATACAATAATTTTGCAACGCTGTATCGTGCTGCAATACGAAAATAGATCCAGAGCATAAGGCTGATCTCTCTTGTCAATATGCAAAAGGTTAAACTGTTATTGTTCGCTCAGTGTGTATGCATATTTTTCAGTGCGCGCACCGTATAACTCGGTGTAATTTTTATTTTTACAAACAAACTATACGAGCACTCCCGCAAACAGTCCAATTATTTTTTCCTCCTTTTGAACGTCGTTATAACTCGACAAAGTTAGTTATAGGTATATTTATATACATGGATGACACGAGTAGAATATGGAGTGCACGAGAGGCGCGTAAGAAAACTTATTCACCATACTGTATAGGCATACCCGTCGTATGAGTCACTCATTGAGCTCCGTGCACGCTTCTCTCGCGCCGTTTGTACAACCAAGCTATATGTCTCGTCGTTAAAGCACACACCGCGCAATATATACGCTTATAGGGCGCATCGCATACACACACTACGGTAGACGACGCGAGCGAGTCGTTTTGTAACGGGAATATCTTCGGAGCAATTTACCAATTACCGAGTAATACGTTTGTTATGCTGCACAGCATGCTCGGCACTCTCAGCGTCACAGGCACGCTCGGCGATGATTTCGCTCTACGCACAACGTTTGCTCGTGCTGCACAAGTTTAATACGCAGTAAGCGCGACGACGTCGAAAACAACAACAACAACAACGACTCAGCCCACGCGCGAGGATTTAGCAACGCAGCAGCAGCAAAAGCAGCGGGCTGCATCAGCCTACTCGCGCGAAACACTTTCTCATTAAAGATATATCGTACTTTTACGCATAATACGCGAGGCAGCAGCAGGAATCAGGCCTCTTTTCGCAATGTAACATCCAAGAAAGTCCACTTACGCGATGTTTATTTCGACAGAGGCTCGCGCTCGTGTGCAGCCGTCGCAGATAAGAGAGTCCCCCGAAGACGAGAAAGAGAGAGAGAGAGTAAAAAAGAAACAAGTTTATTTCTATTTCGATTCTCCGTCAGCACACACACATGCTATGCGAGACGCAACTTTAAATTCGCGTGCGTCGTGCTGCTGCTGAATTTTGACGAGAGACGCAGAATTTTATATAAAAGCGAAGGTAAACACGAACACGCATTCCTCACGCCTTTCTCTCGCTATACATGTATACATACACTGCTGCTGCTACTGCTTGCGCGCAATGGCAACACAGTGTAACATATAGCATATACGCGAATCTCGAGCTGTGCACGAGAAAGAGAGAGAACGACTCACGGACGAGGGCAAGGCGTGTGTTGTGTGAGTGTTTTGTGCGCCTCCTCTCTCGCGGACACAACTGCTGCTCCGATGCTGCGATGCTGCTGATGCAGCTGTATATAATTTTACCCCATGCGATTTAAACTTATTGTTTACCTCGATTTGCAAGAACAAGCTGACTATTATAGATCGGGTTGATAAAAAAGCCTGGCCAGTCAATCATCCATCGGTATAGCTGTAACAGGCGAATCGACGTGATTGCGGAGACTCCGTTGTATACGAGCAAAAAAAAACAACTCGTTGGCGCTGTTTGTTTACAATCGCGTATACGCTGGCGCACAATATTCCACGACGTAGTTGTATTTGTATATGAATCACACGCAGAGAGAAGTGTTGTTCGTGCACGGGGGTGCGTGCAGCACGCACGCACTGATACACACTGGCACAGAGCACGCTAATACTCTCGGGGATCGTCGTCTACGAGCCTTGCCTCGAACAGACAACGCGGCGCACTGACTGCGCGAGGAGGCGCGAGGCGTATTTTACGCAGAGTCTGACTCTCTGTATATGTATGTGTGCATAATGTATTGCGGCAGCAGCGCGCGCGCGGACCAGCAGCAGCAGCGACTATGACTGCTGCATCGAGAAATAATCATCATAACGCAGTCGTGATTCGCTATGTATAGGTGTATAGCGTGTATGTGTGTATACGTCCTGCCTTTTCTTGCTTGTATGTAGGTATACACGGTGCGCAATAGGCTCGTCTCTGTCGGTTTGACGTGCGCTCGCAGCAACACCGAGGCAGCACTGCCCACGGATCAGATGGGGCCCCCTACCCGCCTACTGGCCCCACCGCTGCTGCTGCTGCTGCGCGTCTCGACTATCAGATGTATTATATGCAATATAAAGATCTGTGTTGTGTTGTTTCGTGCTACACACGACGATGACGGCATGCGATTTTGCGGACGCGCATGAGGTTCGTTCATTTTCGGTACAGGTTCGATGACTGCGACGACGTTCGATTCCTCCACAGTTGACTTTGAAAAATATATTGTAAACATCGTAATCTACTTTGGGAGTTTTATCATGGTGAACTGTCAGAGATAGCGACTTGCTCCGATCTAATTTTTTGTTTTTTTTTTGTTATTGTTTTACTGTGGGCATACTTATACCTGCGCAGGTGTTTCAAATTCATGTATACGTAAGGCAATCAATTTTTTTCTTATCGGTATTTTTTTTCATCAACACTTGAATTGTATTATTGCGAAAAAAATGTAAGGTACGCACTTGACACGTTTTGTGAATGATGATTGACAAGTACGTTATTTACTACGAATTCAAGTGTGATAAATTGACCTGTAAAAATTACAACATTTGAATGTTACAATTTTTTATTCGTACTTCGCACCAATAAATTTATCAATAATAATCAAACGAGTTGCTTTGAACTTCACTGTAATTTTTTATCATAGGTGATTTAGCGGCACACGAAAAAAATCATAAGGTGGCCGATTTCGGCTGCTCTCATCGTGAGCAGACATAAACAAAATTTCTCGCTGAAAATGGATACCGAAATAAACAAGATACTTGCTGCGAATTCAGTGCCTGGAGTAATTTGAGATTCATTAAAAACATTCTTACAAAACATTAATTCGGGATTAATTTTATCTATATTGATTTTTTAAAGATACCACCACAGGCTTACTACATTCCAAATTTTATAACTGAAGAAGAAGAAAATGATATAATTCAAAAAATACAAAGTGCACCACAGCCAAAATGGACACAATTGAGCCATAGGAGGCTTCAAAATTGGGGTGGTATTCCTCATCCCAAAGGAATGATAGCAGAGGAAATTCCTCAAGTATATCTTTTTTATGTACAACTTTAGAAAAAAAATTTTTTGAGAATTTCATTTATATTATGTTGTATTATTGGTTGTAGTGGCTGAAAAAGCAAATTGACAAGATTGCAGAGTTGCATATTTTTGATGACAGCAAAAGACCCAATCATGTATTGATAAATGAATATTTGCCTGGCCAAGGCATCATGGTAAATTTTTTAGAAGCATTTTCTTTGAAAAAAATCTAAATTTCTATCGAAATTTGTCTAATCTAAATTTGTGATTTTTCTGTAGCCTCATTCTGATGGTCCTATGTTTCATCCAATTGTGACAACTATCAGTTGTGGATCACATACTCAGTTAACGTTTTATAAAAGACATGATACAAATAATATTGTAAATATCATACGCTTACACCAAATATTAGTTCAATAAATAGTAGCCTTGATTGAAATTCTCTTTAATACTTATTTTCATTTGCATTTCAGGAGTTACCAGAGAAAGAGTTTAGTCTATTACTAGAACCAAGAAGCTTATTGGTATTGCAAAAAGACTTGTACCATAATTATTTACATTCAATTGAGGAATCAAATAACGATAAGATAAATCAGAAAGTGGTGAGGAACTTACCATTGTGTGCAAAGTCATTTAGTGAGGAAGAATTAATACCACGTTCAACAAGATATTCATTAACTATAAGACATGTTCCTAAAACTTCTAAATTTAAAATAAAACTTGGAAAATAATACATTGAAAAAGCAATTTTTTTTCGTCATTGAAAAATAGTCTTAATATATTTCTATAGATTGTAAAAAATATCTTATTTTCTAAAAACTGATTTGCGCATTTATATACAAATGTGTTTAAATTAAGCCTTTGGATCGGATTTTGGAGACATATTCACGTCTTCTAAGCTTACATCCATAATTTCTTCATCTGATTCGTCCAACATTCCTTGTAAAGAGTGTATAGAAGATATAAGAACATGAAATTGCTTTCTTCTCATTTCAAGTTTTTGCTCCAGATGATATGATTTTTCCTAAAAAATATTGGAGTTATATAATTTATAACTTTTGATTTTTAGTGAATACTAAAATCTACATACTTTCAAAACACTTAATTCCTTTTGTAAATTTGCAAGCTTGAGATCTGTTTCTTTCCTATCTGGCTGCTCCATTATCACTTTAGCTAAAACATCATATTCTATTCTATTCTTTCTCACTCGTTTTGCTTCTTGCAACTCTGCTTTAGTTTTTTCAATGTTGAGTTTAGCTTCTTTAATTTCTAACTCAATTTCGTCAGCTAATTCCTCGTAATTCTTCAATTCATCCTGGCTCATTTGAGCAGCTATCCGAGACTTTTTCTGAGCATATTCACATTGTGATAATTGAGGTAACATTCTTTCGTGTAAATTATGATCTACCTCTGGATTATTGACCCATTTAATGAAAGATTTGAGCAAAGCATTAATTCGACGATCATCTCCAATACCATCTCCATCGATCAATAATCGACGTCTAATAACTTCCTCTGCAAAAAGTCGAAAAATTAATTGATTTCAACTGGTGCAACTTCGACCAGAAAACAGTAAATTTTTCGAGTGTCAACAATGGTCGGCGTAACAGTATTTTTAACAATTTCAACTCACCGTCTGACATACTAATGGTATAATAATTCAAAATGAAGTCTCGTTAATGGCACAAAATTTAATCAAGTATCAAATTCGACAATGATTGTTTTAACTGACAGTTTACATTGATTGTACACACATGTGGCGTCCGCTTGGGATACTTTAACACTGGATGTTTCGCGTTTGTTTTAACCTCGAATCTATTTCATTGTATTTGCTATAATTTGGCAGTCGAAGTCGGCTGTGTACAGGCGAGCCTACAATGCGCTGTCGCGTGCAGCACTAGTTGTAGTCGTCAGCGGTCGGACGTCGAGTTTCGGAGCAGCGCGGCAAGGATCTGAAATCTGAATGAACCGAATATCGAACAAAAATGACAGGGCTAGGATAAATAAATCTAAAATATTTGAAATTAAAGTAATGTTTGGATACAAATAACATGAACAAATATTATTATTTCATTAAAAATTGCCCACATTTCAGTACTTGAAGAATGTATGTATATGATCAATTGAGAGGAGTTTCAGATAAAAAGGAGTGAATGAAAATGCTAGTTTTTCAATTTTTGAAACACATAAAAAATTTATTATTATAAATATATAATATATTAAATTAGCTATGGTATTACAAGCACACTGTGCGTGTTCACATAAAACAAATTTGCTAATTATCTTATAAATACAGTATAAAATATTATTTACATTTTTTCCTATAAAATTCTTATTAAATATGTAAAAAGAATAAAACAATAAAATTAAACAATGCAACAACAGATGCAACTAAATTTTTTTGCTAGTGTTATTTGACTGGTTAGCACTGGATTCGAAGAGCAGTGGTCTGAGCTGCACTGGATCCTTATCGACTTTTTGTAAAAGTTGGAAACAACCAGTACCAATGGGAGCCGGAATTCCCATGATGATGGACTCAGACACACCTGTAATGGCGTCTCTTTGTCCGTAATAGGCTCCATCATACAGATGATCGGTGGTATTTTCAAAAGATGCCAAATTGAGAACGGACACCTTCTGTTTCGACAAGCCCTGTCGGTTGACACCCAGTACGGTACCGTCCCTCGTCATGAGATCGGCGACGAGGGTCAAGTGACGACGATCGATGCTCATTCCGTGATTCTCCATGACGCACTTGATCTCCTTCATGATGGTTGTGCGAGCGGCCTCGATGCCCAGAGTCTGCCAAACCTCGATGGTATTGTTGGACGTGCAGCTGGCGCCTTTGACGCCTCGCGTAGCCATGACCTCGCGCATGTTGTAGCCCTCCACGAACAGCTTGTATTTCGTTTTGCCCGTCGAGTCGTCGTGGTGTATGACTGCCCTCGTTACCGAGGCTATGCCCTTTACCGCGATGTTGGGCAGGTTCTCCTTTAGATTGGCCATCAGAGTACTGAGGCTTACTTTTGACTTCATCCTGCTGGGATAAATGGTGAGCTTCCAGGCTCTTTCATTGACTTCGACGGCTTGTTCATTGATTTTCAACTTGGAAGTGCAGATCGCATGAGCGATAGTGTAGATGTTGATTTCGAGTTTCAGAAGTCTTATGCGCTCGCTGGCAATTTTTAAAACAAGACGGACACCTTTGGGATCGACGTCATCTAGAATGCACTTGGTTATTTCGCCGAGAGTTGTTCTTTCTATGCGACCCTTGACTCTACGAGCGAACTCCGGATCCGTATCGTTATCCAGCGCAGTTGTAATAATAGGTGTACTAATTTTAGCGCTGCCGTTGATGATTTCCTTGATACGCGGTACACCCTGAGTGATGTTCATCGAAGCGACTCCGGCGAAATGGAAGGTTTTCAGGGTCATCTGCGTGCCCGGCTCACCAATACTTTGGGCTGCCAAGGCGCCCACGGCAGTGCCAGGTTCGATTTTGGCCTTCATGTACTTGTCCTTGCAAGTTTGTACGAACTCGACCAGCTGAGACACGGTCAAGCGCTCGATGTGTCGATACACAGGCGCGTCTCCCTTCAAATTGTGTCGCATCTTCGAGACTCTGATTGCAGTGGCCTTTAAAAATTGCTTAATTTCGTCGCTAAAATCTTTGCTCAAGCAGCTGAACTCGTCGGTTTCGAGCAACTCCTCTGTCGCCTTGGTTATCCTCGGGCCGTCGAGCGGTTCCTCGTCGGGGCAGAGGTTTCTCGCCCTCACGTCCTCGAGGACGCGCTTGTAATCCACCGGGCAGTCTTTACCTTCCATGTAAGTGGGGTCCAATTCGTCGTTTCCGTACTTGTGTTGGACGAGATCGCCGACGGCGTTGCGCACGGTCATGTCGTAATGAAGCACCAGATCCTCCAAGCTCTTGACGAGACGTCGCTGCATGTAGCCGGTCTCGGCCGTCTTGACGGCCGTGTCGACGAGACCCTCGCGACCGCCCATCGTGTGGAAGAAGAACTCGGTCGGCGTCAGGCCCGAGTAAAAGGAGTTCTCGACGAAGCCCTTGGCAGCTGGCTCCTTGTTGAACTTGCGGAAGTGAGGCAGAGCTCGATCCTCGAAACCGTTGGGTACGCGGTGACCGCTGATGGCCTGCTGGCCCACGCAGGCTATCATCTGCGAGATGTTGATGAAACTACCCTTCGACCCGGACAGAGCCATAGTAAGCGGACTGTTGCTCGGGTGCAGCTCTTTGAGGCAGATCTTACCGGCGTGATCACGAATTACTGACAGCTCCTTGAGTATCATGGCCTCGAGGGTCTCCTCCTCGTTGCAGCCGGGCTGACAGGCCAATTTGCCATCTTCCATGCGTTTGATGTACTCGTTGCACTTGGCGTAGCCACTTTCCAGCAACTTTCTCTTGGCGTCGAGCAGACCCTGGCCCGGCGTCACGTCCTCGATGCCGATGGAGAAGCCACGATTCATGAGGTAGTAACTGGCCACCCTGGCCATTCTCCACATAACGGACGTCGACGCGTCCTCGCCCCAGTCGCGCAGCAGGATGTAAAAGATATTCTGCTTGGAGCCGGAGCCGAGAGTCGATTTGTCCATGGAGCCGGCGAGCAATTCTGAATTGCGTATGATGACGTACGAGTCGTTCACGCAGAGCTCTTCGCCACTCGTGTAGGCTTTGCCTTTGGTTTTCAAATTGGCCTTGATCGGGCACTTGTTGTTCGGTCGAATCAGCAGGCTGAAAATCTGCTTTCCAGTCCACAGGACCATCGGCTTCATGATGGCCGGTGGTGGCAACGTTATTGCGGTATTCGAATCCTGGCCAACGAGGATTTGACCGATTATTTGACAGACCTGAGCTTTGTTGAAAAAATTGTCTTTGCGCGTCAGCAGATAGGATCCAGTGATGAAATCTTGTGTCGCGGCGATCATCAGCTCGCCGTTGCGGGGCGTCACGAGATTCGACTTGTTGCCCATCAGCACCAGAGCCTCGGCGCGGGCCTCTTCGGTCTGCGGCAAGTGCAGATTCATCTCGTCGCCGTCGAAGTCCGCGTTGTAGGGCGTGCAGACGCACTCGTTGAAGCGGAACGTGCGATCCCGCAGCACCTTGGCTTTGTGGGCCATTATACTGAGTTTGTGAAGGGACGGCTGACGATTGAACAGCACCACGTCGTCGTCGAGAAGATGCCTTTCGACCGTGTCGCCGTAATCGAGATTTTTGGCTACCTGATCACGGTTTCTTGCATGCTTCAACATAAACATGAGTTTGTTTTTCCTTTTAATGACGTAATTGGCACCGGGATGTACATCTGCTCCATTGATAATCAACTGTCTCATAAATTCAATATTTATTTTTGTGACTTTTTCTGGATAAGTCAAAATTTTAGCTACTTCAACAGGCACGCCAACCTGCTCGATTCTCAAGTTTGGGTCGGGTGAAATGACAGTTCTGCTGGAGAAATCAACACGTTTACCTGATAGATTACCTCTAAAACGGCCTTGCTTCCCTTTTAGCCGCTGAACCAAACCTTTGCTTTTACCTTTAGGAAGCAAAGAAAGTGGAACACCAGTCAGTGGTAATTCACTGTTTAAATATAAGCCACAAGTAAGTTGTAAAGCCTGAAACACTTGATTGTAATTACTCACTGAAATTCCATTTACTCTGTTACCTCTCATCACATCATTGAGATGCAGAATACTGGAAAGTCCAACGGTCAAACTATCTTCATTAGTACCTGCTCTCATTTCTGAAGTTACACTGGGTCTGATACAAACTGGAGGAACTGGCATTCTTGTGAGAATAAGATCTTCAGGCATGCTAGTCTCACTATTCATTAAAAGAAGAGGAATATCTTTTTCTGGTATGCGTTTAAAAAGTTGTAGAACTGCATCTGGATACAAGTTTTCCAATTCTAAATTTGGGTTCATACCTTTAAATTCTGGCATTTCATCAATGACATCCTTTAGCGCAGCAATTTTTTCCAGTACCAAAGGATTGGTTTCTTTCTTATTTCTGTATTTCAAATGTACAATCATTAGAAAACCACCTTTCTTAACAGTACCATTAATATCACCACAATATGGACATATTGAACATTTCATAGCTTTTTGTAAAATATCTTTACGTAATTTCTTTTTTTCTAAATAAGTTGTATTTGGCGCTGTAATTTTGGCTAACAGTCTAATTTTATCTTGGTGATTGAGCAAAACAGAAGAACATTTTTTACAAATGGATTGTAGAATATTTATGGTTAATCTAAAGTAACCAGCATGGAAAACTGGCATTTCTAAATCAACGTAGCCAAAGTGACCACTGCATTCGTTCAGTTTCTTTCCACAAGTTTCACATACATTCCCAGAAATGCAAACACCCAATTTTGGATCCAGTAAACCATTCTGAAGTGGTGTGCGATTATTTTCAGAAGCATAAAGTTGTGAAGCTACCACATGCAAGTGACTTTGAAGTTTCATGCGATGCGGACTGTCAATGCCAAATGTGATGTGAGATATTTTTTTCACCCTGTCTGTCTCCCGATACATTTCTTTCCCCATGATTGCGATTGATTTGTATCCGGTACAATGTCTTCTAAACCTTCAAATATAAACGATAAATTAAATTACATAAACATTTATAAACACTAATTAATCAATATCATTAAGACCGACATGACCGAAATAGTAAAAAACGTGTATAGACAAAATTAACCTTTTTAATGGGCCGGTTGCTACCGAATTTCACACATACAATCACTTGCACCGGTATTGCATCAGCTTCGTAGTTCCAACATCTGATTCTGATTTTTACTACACTACAACTGAATTCTACTAATAAGAAGAGCTCATAAACACAGTGCACGTGCGTCTGGGTGCTCTAACGTACTGTACATATATACATAGGTGCGACCATGCGTAGAAGTAGAACAGTGGACGGTGGACCAATTGAATTTAAATGAAAAATGAGATTACTTTCAAACTTCTTAACGGATCAGAATCAAAAAAGCAATTTAAAATTGAATTATTTATAAATTTCGCTTCAATACTAATTGCATCCCAAACTATTATTAAAACTGCAATCAAAAATTTCACAAAATTTTACGTCAGAGGATTTGATAACTGAATTTTTTGCACCTGACATTTATTTGCACAGTCCTTTATTAGAAATTCCAGATAAGTCTCTCAAGTATTGGAAATATTTTTATTTTCATCTCAATCAGTTTGCACGAAAACAATTGTAATTTTGATTTTTTTCTCAAAAATATTTTACAATGCAAAATAAGCATTATAGCAAGGAGTTATAAGAGGACGGACTGTTTACACACAAAATAATACATCGGCATTTGCCGTTTAAATTCTGCATGCATCTTTCATAATTTTGACGTGGTCAAAACGTTTAAATTTGTTAAAGACCGTCACCAATGTGCACAGACTCGGAAAACATTATTTTTATAAATTTATAATTTATTTTTTATTGTGATTATTTAGAACCCGTAACACATTCGAAGAACCAATCAACTATATTATTCCAGGCAGCTCGATGTTTTCACAAAATTATTAAATCATTTTCAACATCGCTCCTGAATTTTTCATTGAATATCAGTTGGAAGCGCCTCATCGGCTTATGAAAAATTTTCAGAGAAATTTTTCTAACATAAAAAAAAAACCATTTTTCAAAGAGCGGCGCTATTTAAACACGGTAATTTTGAAAATTTCCACGTCTAATACACCGTAAGTATTCGCAAGCAGCGCGTGTAAAGAGTTATAAACGTGGCAACCGCGAGACACCGGACCGCAGAGGTGTGATTCTGCGAACACTAGTTTTGGATGCGTGTTTGTCTTTGATAGCTCGTACAAGTGTGTGTAGAGCTTTTCTAAATTTTTTCTTTTTTGTTTATATAAAGGCAAAATATCTAATTAATAGCAAATTACCATGGCGCGAAGCAGTGCTATTTTTCTCTGCTTGCTGTTTTTAATGGTGTTCAGCTTTTCTCTGAGTAAAAAAGTCAGTCATGTCGACAAATTGGACGAGGATAATTGGCAAAACATGCTCGAGGGTGAATGGATGGTCGAATTGTAAGCATTTTTTTCCTTTTATCAACCCTAATAGTTCTTCGCAAAAAGCATTAATCTTGCTATATAAAAACGATGGTGTCTGTTAGAGACAATGAATGTACTGTATGTCGGCGTAAGTTGGGTTAGGAATGTGAGATTGTTTACATTTTATAGTTACATTGTATCAGTCATTATAATCTATATGAACATTTATTTTCAATTTATACTTCAAAACTAAATATGATGAATAAATTTAGAAAACAATTTATCATATGCTGAATTATAATGAACTTATATGGTATTGATGTAGAGTTTTAGATAATTAAGCATAAAATAGCGAAGCAATAATGCTATATACTAAAAAGTCATGTTAAACCCTATTAATTAAGTATTTTATTTCAGCTATGCACCTTGGTGTCCTGCTTGTAAAGCCTTAGAAAAAATTTGGGAAGGTTTGGCTTTTCAGAAGAAAGAACTAGGCATCAATGTGGGTAAAATTGATGTTACAGACTCACCTGGACTGAGTGGTCGCTTCATGGTCACTGCTCTACCAACTATTTATCAGTAAATAGTTTTTATGTTTAAAATCAGAAAGATTTATTGAATACGGAATATATTTTTTTATATTTATACAGTGTTAAGGATGGTGTATTCCGTCAATACAAAAGCCCAAGAGATAAGGATTCGCTTGTTGAATTTGTCGCTAAGCAAACATGGGCCAAAGTTGAACCTGTTTCCAGTTGGAAAAGTCCCACATCTATTCAAATGTCAATCATTAGCCAATTTTTCAAAATGTCTCAAGTTTTAAGGGTAAATTATCATTTTGATGCTCATTAATTTCAGTTAATCATGGTTTTTTGTTTTTTTTTAATTAAGTCAAATAAGTTTAATAAGTCCATCATATAATTTTTTTTTTTTTATTCATCCTCATTACACCGTTTTAATGAAAAAACATAGGAATTAAGAACTCGTTTTCAGGTTGTCCATAATCATCTGATGGAAGAGTATGGCTTGCCAACATGGGGAGGTTACCTTATCTTTGCTATTGGAACAATCTTCCTTGGTGCTTTCGTTGGCCTGGTAAAATTAAATTTAAAGATTTCAAATGATTTAAATTATCAATTACATTCTGAAATTTTCACTTTTTTTTTAATTTAGTTCATAGTCTGTGTCATTGATTGCATCTATCCACCAAAACAGTTTATGGAACAAACAAAGAAAAAACAAAAAGGTTCAGGTGGTTTTATGTCGGCTGCTGGTTCTAATGAAGATGAAATTGCAAATGCAATTAAAGACGATTTAGTAGATGAAGAAAACAGTGAATCTGGAGATAGTAAGTCTCAAAACAGTACACCAAACGTACGCAAGCGCAAATCACGCAAAGCTGATTAATCCAAATTTATAAAACATGTTTGAATCAGAGATTTTTCATAAAATCTGATTATATTATGATCTGTGTAGAATTGTTTTATTTTGCATAGTTATGTGAAAAAATTTCATAAAATATCTGAATGATTGTGAGAATAAAAATGTGTGTTTTGTATATCTGTGACTAATCAGTGTGAATTTATAGACCATATTGATTTTTTAAAAAAAAACTTTGCAATTAAACTAAAAGAAAGTATACTAAGTCAAAACATTCCAAGATCAATAAATAGTAATGTGCTACAGTGCACTACATTTTTTTAATTAACTCATGTAATTCATCAGCAACTTTATGATATTTTAAATTTATTTAACTAATTTGAATTTTAAGAAGTTTAATTAATTTTAACGTTTTTAATCTAAAATGATGTAATTTTTTATTGTTAATTAAGACAGTTACGATTAACATTAAATACTCAAAGTAGACTGAAAAGTTTATCGCGAAAATACACATTTTCGATGTAATAATTTGTAAAATAATTTACGCTGCAATAATTTTATCAGCTTTAATAATATTTTTTTAGAAGTCCTAACATTTTTATAGTGGGACGTGTTTTATGACTATTTATTTCGCCGTTAAAGTCTTACACCAATAAAACTTTTACTTGAACGCACAAAGATGATCTGTTTTCAATTTTAAAAGAAAATTGAAAATTCTGAAAAAGTTTGACTTATTCTATGGTGTTATTGTACTTGAAATGATACTTTGTTGTATGTATGAGTCAAGTTTTAGTTGCTACAGTATCTTGTTAGGTTGTTCTTTCATTTTCTTAATATTACAAAATCATCATATTATTTGAAATCAGGTATTCCGAATATCATGCATCATTCCATAACATCAGCAAGCAAATATTAAAAGAATTGATCGATAATGTAACAAGCTAAATCAAATTGACTTTGAATGAGGACACGTGACATGATGTAACTTATTGAGTATAAATAAATTTGTATATTAGTTAAATACAATAAACATGTAATTTTATTATTAACAAGCACGAGGCTTCTCCGAGCCTCGTATCAGCTCTCGGATTGTCGTTGGAATAAATATGTACAGAGCCTGGTAAAGCGCGCATGTACAACTCGCGCATCATCTCTCTTTTTGCAAAAGCTGTTTTTGCATGTGCGCGCGTGCGAGCGTCTGCGTACGCCTTGCCGTTAATGTAACATCGACGCCGAGTATATTTTTGTCGACTTGAATACGCGCCGATAAGATTCGATCTGAGTAGGTCTCGTGATTTTCGAGAAAACTTGAAAAACAATCACATAGAGGTGAGTTTCTGTCCCTCTCCGTCGTCGCTCATCGCCGCGTCCGCGTGTTAATATACTATCTCTATATATAATAATACGAACGTACGACGAGAGCGTGTGTATCTTTTAACATTTATTACGCGCGTCGTATTAAGAATCGGGCTTCGAGCACACACGCGTTGACGCAAAGAATTCGCAGAACAAAGCCATTGTGCGCGCTTATTTATAAAATATACTTCTCTCCTTTTTTTTATTCGTCGAGCGAGTTAAACACACTTAGCCGCGCGCGCGTAAGTTGTAAAAAGTATATTTCCGAAAATTGGCGTTTCTTCGCGCTCGTGCACGCTTCAACTTGGCATTCAATGTCGAAAAAACTGATCTAAAAATATGAGTTGAAAGAAGAAGAAAAAACGCGTGCGCGCCTTCGCTTATTATTGCGTCTTATCGTTTGACGCGCTGCATCAACACACGCAAGGTTTAATCGTGCGTATTGCACGCGAATGGTACGTACGCGCACCGGAGTGAGAGAGAGAGAGAGGAAAAAAATTAACGTTAATGTTCGATTGTGACTGAAACGGGAGCGATATCGGGGAAAATACAATATTTTCTCTGTTGATGTTATTCAGAACATTAATGATCGCTCGTACATATATAGTATAGACATGTACTAATATTTACCCCCGAGTTAATTGAAATCGATCATTCGTTAGTTTCGCGACTCTTCCTCTGCGCCGTAGCTAAAACGGCCGCGCGAGCCGTGGAAGGTCGTATTTTAATAGAGTTGCAAAACCTATAAGTTAATGCGCTATAGCGGGAAAATTATTTTTTCGAAATGATCGCGTTTCTATACAGGAAATCATCAGCCTTCGATTAAAATTTTTGGGATCAATTTTAGAAGTCACGATCTTCCGATTATCTGCTACATAGGCGACGATGTGTAGAGATGCTATATATTCCGACATGCGTGCGCGTGTGTGTGTCTGTTTGCAATTTAGTAGTAGAAACCCGCTTAGTCACTTTTATGTTTCTGTACACGTTCTTGCGTTATACTATATGATTTTTGGATTAACCGAGTAAATTCGCCACACGCACTTCTGGTTCGAGACTTGAAATATTTTGCGCGTCGATTTCTCGTCGGCATTATTCCGCGATGAGTTGCACGCGCGCGCGGAATCGCGAGGCTCTATTTTACTGTGATGCTGATCCGCGATTTTTTCAATTTTCAACGAGTAGATTGCGACAATGTCCACACAGGAACTATTCGACGGATAATGCGCGCGAGACAGCTTTGAAAACATCCTTATCACTACGTCGGCGAGTCAAGTGTTGCGGTAACGAGTTTTCTAAAATTTTATTTTCGTGCCATGTACATTATATTACTTAAATGTGGGCCGCTCTCATACTTCACGCTCGTAACCGTACGACCAATAAGGCCGCGACTTGTATGTATACCCTAGATTATCAATACTCGAGAAAAAAAAAGAAACATCATCGCGATCGTGCGTATGTATACTTTCGTGGGATGAAAGTCGAAACTCGCATGTATTCACACAATCATGAATATCCGACGCCAGGAGATAATGTGGAATAAAAATTCGAACGCCCCTGTATATTTAATGTCGCGGTCCTTATCGCTTGACAGCGAGCTGACGATTCTAACCATTTATATAAAAATTTCTGTTTTCGTGAGAGCACGTGCGCTCGTTTATGCCTGCTTGCCTGAGATGCTTGGATTTTTCGACGCAATCGCTCTCGTTTTGATGCCCGAATTCGAGACGAGCATTTCACCTCCCAAATGTAACCGAGGAAGATAAAAATCACCTCATGTAAGCGTATATTCGTTTCAGTTTTTTTTTTTTTTTTTTTATCGCGCTCGAATGTGTACGGTACTATCTTTCCTCGGTTTATGCTACATGTATGTTTGAGTGTTTGTGCGAGTGTATGGAATAACGGCTAGCCTGTGTTTGAGATCGGACGCTCATTGTTTTATAAAGATATAACAGCATCTTTTTTTACAGTAGGTCCCAGAGAATTTTGTCTTTCGGCGCGTATAAGGATAAGGAGCGGACGGTATAAGGAGCGCAGCGCGGCGTGTTCTGCGATACAAATCCCAAACATTGAGAGTAAAAAAAAATGGAAAAGAAAAAAAGGCACGCACGACCACTCTGCGGCGAGCACGTGCGTCACATCGTATATATATCGTATACATAAACGTACACGTTATAATTGTACAAACTATACAAACATGTTTTCGTAATAATATCGTCGTGGCGCGCGGCTCGCGCTCATGATCGCTAAAAAACACTGTGTGTGTGTGTGTGTGTGTGTGTATCGGCGAGTAGTCGGTAGCGTATTTTTCATTTGCGCATCGCCGCCGCGGATACCACGACGATACACAATACTCGATATATAATTCATATACTATTATTATATATATTGCGCTCGATCGCTGGCGCACGCTAGCGAGCTCCTCGAGCTGTTCTGTTGCCTATATAGAATATGTGCATTATAGCGAGCGAACGATATCTGTAATCGCGAACCTCTTTTATAACGAGCGCATTCGCGCGCGCCAGCGATCGAGCGCTCGATTCATTAGAATTAGATATATGAAATGACTCGGGACGGAAGTGCGATCGAGTGTAATAACAAAGCCCCGCGATGGTAGATAGATCTGCGCGATTCGACGATAATGAGAAGCATTTCGTAGACTCGGCAGAGAGTAAATAAAACGAGACGATATCGTAAGACTCGTTACGAATGAAAACAAAAAAAGTTTACGTAACGTACGGCGTTTATCCCCCCCGAAAAAAAACCCGCTCCGAAATTGAAATAATATACCGTCGCGCAAGTGGGCCTATCTATCGAGTACATTATTTACACCTTGTGTACACAAAAGCCGCGATATCCCGGTTTGACAGCCATGATCGGGGATATAGCATTAACGCGTTAGAAGAATATATATAACCTTATATACACGTGCTCCGAAGTGTCCGCTAAACAAATCATCGAAGTATATAGAAGCGTGCGCACGCACAGTCGCGAGCATTGTACTTATGTATCGTTTGTACTGTACGAGAGTAAGCTAGCCTGCGTGAGACGAGCACGTGTATTTTTATACGCCATCAGCAGAGCAGTCCTTCGCATTCGCATTCGATTTACATCGGAAACCTTCGTGTGACATTGCGCGGATACTTAGTATTGTCCGGGCGAGCGCTAATAATTTAGCGCCGCGCTCCAAAGTAAAAGAGGAAAAAAAGAAAATGAGCTGAGTAAGCGCGATCTCTCTCTCTCTCTCTCTCTCTCGAGCTCGCGTTGCATCGAGGTGAACTTTTGTGCCGCACGTGTACGCTTGTACACACGCTGACACTCTGTTAAGGATGGATGTATGTATGTTTGCGCACGAGTTACGCCGAAAACGTCGGAAAAGTTTATTTCCGAATGCACGACACGCCGCTCTGTCCGCTGTTTATAAATATTCGCGAGAAGTGCGAAATTCAAATAACACGCGGCGACGGTGGCAGCTCACGCGAGAGCCGCAACACTGCGCGACTTGTTTGGGATAAATAAGCTTTCATGAATACGCGAGGCGAGCGAGAAATCGCTCCGCCAGACCAGGAATCGTCGTAGCACGAAAAACCTCATTATACTCCGAAATGAGAAATCGTCTCGTCGCCGTTGTCAATTCGAATATTTACATGCGAGCTCGTGTGTCGGCGCGTCCGGTTTATAAGCAGCTGCTCGATCGCGCGAGCGACAAATTTACCTAAAAAACGTCTACTCGAAGCAGCCCAGAGACGAACGCTATTAAGTTGAAATTTATCAAGCCGCGGGCGCGATACAGCAAAAATCCGGAGAACAAAAAATATAAAAAAAAAAGCACGTGTTCTCGCTAAGCTCGCCGCGACGCGAGGTCTTCGTGCGCGAATAGCCTTTGCGTGGTTATATACGTGCCTACATATACGTAGAGGTATATATAAGTATTATCTTGTTTTTTTTTTCCCTTTCTCCTCGTCGAGTGCGTTGCTGCAGGCGAGTGTGTGGCGGCATATGTGTAGGTGCCTCTCTTATATGTATACGTATATTATCCATACGCATATGCCAATTGCCAACGAAACGAATTCGCGCAGCTGCGCGCTGGTCTTTTTGCTCGCGCCGAGGCGAAGCGAACGTCGAGTCGTCTTTCCTCGATTCCTCGCTGCCATGCAGTTGGCCGATGTCTCGCGCGACTCGGCACTATAGCCGCATATAATAGCAGCGAACCATGCCAGCGAGAAAGAGAAAGAAAGAGAGAGACAGAGACCATACAGACAGAGTGGTGCAATGTGTATGGCAGTTCGGAGCAGAGCACCCCCACCGCAGCAACGTATACAGCCGCTGCTACTCTGCCTAGCCGAGAGAGCTTCCACGGACCACGGACGACTCGGCTCGTTGTTCGGCGTAGCGGTGGTGGCGGTGGCGGCGGCGGCTCTGCGCACGACTCGGCAGGCTCCACTCACGCTCGCATACACTCGCACGCGCTGCCGCCTACCTCCGAAACGTACGTGTTCGTGCACACACACGTCTCACACGCATTCACCAATACATAGAAACGCCGCGGCGATACGATCTTCGGTATACTGTAGAGAGAGAGAGAGAGAGCACGGCAGCGGAGTCGGTCGGCAGGAGGCTCGAGGCAGCCAGTATCGTTCGAGAGTGCGCATCAGATGCAGTGCACGCGAGAGAGGAGCGCGACTTTGCTGCGGAACGCTATATATAATATACGGTACGCAGTTGTTCGAGTCGAAGAGGTGCAGAGAGAAGAAGAGAAGGCGCAGGGAAAGACCCACGCGAGTGTGTAAGTGTGCAGCTGTGTGAGTGTTTGGCTTGTCAGTGTTTTTTTGTATATTTTATGCGTATATAGATAGTGTGCGTGTGCACGAAAAAGCAACGCAGGCAGCTGCAGCAGCGGATTATATATACGTATATTCGATATATCTATATATACAGCTACCGCGCGACCGGCCGTGCTATATATCCCGAGCACAGAAAAAGAGCCTTTCGCAGAGTGAAAGCAAAGTTACATGCAGAGACCCGAGGCCCGCGATATATACCATCGACGAGAAAGAGAGAGAGAGAGAGAGAGAGAGAGCCCCGTTTCGCGCACCAACATACATAGGCCGCTACATACAGGCCAAAGACATACAGGCCAGAGACAGATCCATAAAGGCAAAAAAGGATAATATAACGATAGACCGAGGCATCATCTCTGCGTAACTCCGAGTCCAGTCGATTTTGTTGGTAATAGGCTGCTGCTGTCGCTGCTAATTTTTCCCGTATAGTATCGCGAGGCTGACAAGAGCAGCAGTGCAACGTCGTCGACTCGACGGCACCGATCGCCGAGACTCTACCACTACTACACACCTATATACATTGCTATATAACACTCACGTAACATACATACACGCAGAGCTCACGTAGAGAGGCTCGGACGACGGGAAAAACGTTTCCAAAGTGTGCATCGATATATATACAAATATATAAAACATACGTATATAGCAAATTTTGCGACCAAAATTCGCCACACGTGGTTCCTACACGAATAGAGTTATATATATCTTGTACGCGACAGCAGTAGCAGCAGCAGCAGCAGCAGCAAGCAGCTTATAGAAGAAGAACTGCGACCGAACTCGCACGACCGAGTCGCGTAAGTTCAACGTTTTAGCGCAGTTTATTATCGCACAGTGTCTCGTTGCATACCTATATCTATTATCTACTGGTTTTTCTGTGTATATGTGCGCGGTGCAAGTGTGTGCATATATCTGTGTGTGTTTTGTTCGCTGCTGCTGTTTCTCTAGCTCGTTCGCTCGCTCGCTCGGTTCGCTCTTGTGCATACATTACGTATCGAGCACGTACGTTTGTAACGCGCAAATACGCATTAAATCGTTTCTCGGCGCCGTCGTATCCATCGACGGCGACGAGACGCCTGCATTATACTACGTCTATTATATCTATGTGTATGTATGCCTTATACGTGCATACAATCGAGCGCCTAGTGTGCCTACAATATTGCGTGCAACTTGTAATTCGTGCTGCTCGTTCTTTCGCTACATAAGATCTCTTTCTCTATCTCTCTTTCTCTCTCTCTTTTGCTGCCGTATAATAAAGGTATAGAGCGATCGGGTAAATGTGCAGTTTTTTCGGTGTTAACGTTGCGCAGCAGCAGCATCCAGAACAACATTGTAAGTACAAACACACACACACACGCTCGGGCAGTGTGCCGAGAGTCGCAAATTGCGAAAAGGCAATACGGAGTGCGTTACCGAGTCAGTGCGCGATTGTATTGGAGCGAATATACGTGCATTGCACTGTTATGTGCGTGTGTCTATGTGTCTGTGTAAGTGTATAATACGCGATCGTGTGGTTTTTGCTCGCTTACAGAGGCGCACACACGTATATACCTACATAAAACGCTGCTGCTCTGTGCTATATACGACACGTTTGCGCGAGAGAGTTGCGGGGTCTATATGTATACATCATGCCATATAGCATGCGCTCCATAGTAGCATATATATTCGCTCTGCGCTCGCGAGTACGAGGGGGGCAATGAGCCAGCGATATTGCAATCGTTCTATATCGTGTACCCGCAAGTATATACTTGCTACTACTGCTGCTGTTGCTGTGCCTGTGTCTGCCTGCCTCTGCTTGACTTTAGCACACTGTACATTTCCATCTCGCTTTTACCTTGAATGCTCGCACGTATGTAAACGCGATTTCGTGACGTTTCTTTCTTTCTTTTCCTTTTTCTTTTTTTTTTTAACCTGAAGTGGCCAGAATGAATGCACTTTTAACTCCTTTTTTGCGTCGTCGTCGTCGTCTTCGTCGTAGTCATCGTCGCGTTGTTGTTGTCTCTTTATTTTCCTCGCACGATACGTTCGGCATTCGTGCAGCTGCAGAGTCACAATATATATCTATATGAAATATACCGATGCGCAGTAAGAGCCAGTCTATATATTACGCTCGTATATATACCGATGTCTATAGATACACGCTATCAAGAGCGGTAGAGGCGATCACACGATAGACGCACATCTTCGTGGGGTATAATATTCTCGTTTCAAAAATACGATTCCAAAAAAGAAGAGACGCGCGACAAAGACGCGGAAAGAGAAAACGCCTCGTATATATTATGAACTGCTGCGGTGGCCTCCCTTATCGTTTTACAAATGTGTCTTTCTCTTTCTCTCTGTCGCGGCCGTGCCGAGCCAAGAATCGCCGCCTCTGCTGCTGCCGCTGCAGCTGCAACGCCGCGAGTACAGTGTGCTGCTGCATGTAATATAAAAACTTAACAGTGGCTGTATATATACGAGACTCGGTTCGCGGCGCGAGCGAGAGAGAGAAAGAAAGAAAGAAAGAAAGAAAGAAAGAAAGAAAGAATATATGCACTCGTGCACGTACACATGCACAAGAGTTCTCTTGTGTGTGCACGTAAATATACGTGTACGTGTATGCGCTTGAGTTGTGTTGGTTGCGAGCGAGAGAGAGAGAGAGAACGACACGACCAGGTTTGACCGAGAGAAAGACAGAGACGCGCGCGACGAGAGCGTGCACAGGCAGCCGAGCAACGTCAAGAAAGAGAAAGAGAATCGCTTTTAACTCGCAAGATTCTGATTTTGCTGCGTATATGAAGATATATGCGCTTCGCTTCTCTCGCTACGTGTTTCGAGTATCTGTGTGTCTGAGTGCACGTCCGTGTGTATGCATCATTGCCGCTATCTTGCTCGTAGGCACTCTTAAATGTATAAAAAAAATATCATATAGATGTTTGGCTCTATATATCGTACAATTTTATTCTCTCTATGTATATAATGTAGCTCAGCTACTATATACTTCGCCGACTTCCACACACACACACATATAAGAGATATAATATTCAATCTCGTTGGTCTTTGTAACATATGCGTTGTTTGACATCGCTTCGTGCGCTCGATTCGACGGCGTTTATCGTGTTGTGGTGGTGTGCGCTGCCTCGTGATATATACAGTATGTGATTTTTTTTCCTTTTCTTTCGCTTGCTCCGATTATAATTAAAAAGCAGGCAAAACATTCGGCCAACGCGTTATAAGCGCGTGCGAGCACACACACGCACACAGACCAGCGAATATAACACGCACAGACTAGTTGTCGGTGCTGAAACGAGAATTGTCAACTCGGCGTTTCAATGAGTCAATCGTCGACGTCGTTAGCTTTTTAATGCGTGATAATGTGTGCGTACACATGTATGTGTGTGCGCCATCCAAATAGCCGTATATATTTCTACACGCACAAATATATTCATCTACATGTATACAACAATCAACGCACGTACACATACGATTCTGTGTAGCACAACAATATGTTGGCGTATTGCTGCACTTTCTCGAGCTCTCGGCGATGCATACACACGCATACACACACTCACGCACACTCAAGCTCGACTGTACATTTACAGAGCAAGTGTCGATGCACATCGCGCGGCGAGCATATTATATATCTGCGTTTCGTTATTGTCGTTCGACGATTGTGCAGTCCCTCGTATACATACTCAATAATATACATGCAAAAGTGTACATGTAATTTCGTGCGTGTGCTCGGCTGTGCTTACATTATTTTCTATGTACAATCTATATTTATTAGTTGCTAGGTGCTCTATATATAAGTGCATTTTAATGTAGTCACATAGAGGAGAGAGCATAGAAAGAGAGAAGAACGCGCGTATACGGCTTTATTTTCGTAACAGCTGTTCGTCGTCGCCTCTCGGTGCTGCTGCTACACACGTATAATATTATATACATGCACTCGGTGCGCGCGGCATACGCGAGCCACGCACTGCCAACATTATCCAGCTTTTGCGCGATTTTTCTTTTCCATAAATATCTCCAATTTATATGTGTGCATATAGATATATACGTCATGCATGTGCGCGCGCGCGCGCTCCGTGCACGGGAGCGAACTCTGCAGTGTGCGACTGAGCTACGACGACGATGACGACGACGACGACGACGACTATGATGCACGTTGCGCGATTAGGATATATATTTTATTATTACAAAGACGCGCGCGCGTGCGAGTTTGACGTATGTACTATGTCGCGTGGCGAAAAAAAAAATGCGCGAATAAGATACAAACGAATTTTCTTTTTCTCCTTTACGTTACATAAATCCTCCTCGTCTGTCGGGGCCGAGATTTTATGTAATGTTGTTTTTTGATGCCAGTTGTGCACGGTCTTTACGTGTATCGTTAATATCCGACGCATTAACCGATCGTTCAACCGATTATATATACGCGATGTATAACAAAAGTAATCCATTGGAATTCTATATACTTATACTTCTTCTTTTTTCTCCTTGCAGATCGTCCGATTTCTTCGAGTCGTGCATTTGCTAGCACGATCACATGTTCATTAATATCGTAATCAATTTTCAACAAGATGATCAACGAAATTCAAGCGGCGGTCCAATTTCTGCTAACGCTAATTGGAAAAAACAAAAACTATAGTGCCGATCAAATGGAATGCTTTCAGCGAAACCTGATCGAAATGCTGACGGAAAGATTCGAAAATCACTGGTTTCCTGATCAACCCTTCAAAGGTACGTTTTTTTTTGCGCTCGAGTTTTTCTCTGATTTTATTGTCAATTGATATTTTGGCTCGAATCAGAATTTGATAAATCATCGTGTGTCACACAGGTCAAGGATATCGTTGTATACGAGTTAACGCACACAATCGAAGAGACGCGACGATTGCTAATGCTGCAAAAGCTGCGGGCGTACGATACGAAGATCTTGCTTTCCCACAAGAATTAACCATATGGGTGGACCCGAAAGAAGTTTGCTGTCGATTTGGGGAAAACAAAGGCTCTTATTGCACACTGGCTTCGTTCGATGATGACAAAGAAAATTATGTTAGAGTTCTGGATAATAACGAATCGATTCATTTGATTGAAGATCAAAGCGAGGTAAAAATAATATTATGGCAAATTACCCATGATTTTACACAATCACTTTTTGATGAATTTATTACAAACTTAATATTTTAATTAATTTATAATCGTAAACAATTATATTTTCATAATGTAATTACAAACTCCATATTCCATCACGTATCAATACCCAATTTGGTCTATTTTAGAAATCCACTACGAAATCAACAAGTTCACCTGCAAAACCTTTAAGCACATTAAATCAAAATCAAGCTCTGTCAAGCAGTATGGGTACAAATTCAAACACTAATAATGGAAATAGTACAGCTAATAACAGTAATAGTACTTCAAATAACAACAGCTCAAATTCGAACAATAAGCGTCGTAACCAGAATAGTCCTCGTACATATTTAAGTCGTCGTTTAATGAATCATTCTTCATACATGAATTATGGTGGACCAATGAATTTTTCACCTTGGTTCAATAATGTACTGCCTCCTCCGTTCATGGGTACAGCATCGCCTCCACCATTCATCAACGGCGGTCACAGAGTAAACAAGTGGATGTATTCATCAAATTCAAATGGACCATCTCGTTTCCAACATTGGTCTGCAAAGACAACTCTTAAAGTGTGAGACGAGGTTGATTGTTGGTTACCCTCTACTGATGATATTGTTTGGGGCGTATTAGACGCAGATTTAGTAGGGGATCTTAGCGATTTCGCCTGGAGCTTTTGTTGAACAACTGGTGATTTAACTAAAACTTTATTTACCTATTTATACAGCTGAGGCTTACTTTTATTTTTTCAATTTAATTTTTCACATACTTTCTTTCTTTCTTCACATACTTTTTCTTTTTTGTGGTTGGTTAATTATAATTACATTTTTGAAAAGAGATTAAGTATGTTGGCAAAATTTCAATAAATTAATAGTTTTCATAATATGATGGCATATAAACTTGTCAAACGACAGGATTCAGATCAGTTTTCATAAGTATTGCATTTACATAAGGAAATGTGCTATATATAATCTATGTAGTATGTTTTTGGAAAAACGTTTTTAGAATTATAAAAATTCATCGCTTGGTTTAACAATGGTTTGATTCTTATGAACCTTTTATTTTTAAGTAAATTTTAATATAAAATCTGTTGAATCTTATACGATTGATTAGTCATTTTTTGAGCATAGAAAAGCCAACATTCTTGTTCTCTTGTAGCTACCGCAGTGAATAAAATTTAGATTACACTTTGATAATCTATAATTTCTATTGATGCGCGCATAAGTTTCTATTAAATTTTCATTTAACAAATAATTATTATACAAAACAAAAGTAACTTTAACGACACTGATAGATATAACTTTCATTTTAATGGCTGTATGAAAAAAACTACTATATCGATTTTAGTGTAGTCTTGATTAACCAACGAATCCAATCTACCCAGGGTATGATCTACGTAAAATCTAGTTATTCTATGAGGAAAATTCGTAACTTTAAATTAAAAAAAAACGGATTTATTTCATTAAAATTACAAAATAATTATTTGTTATAAAAATATGAATCGCGATCGAATTATTTATATCGACTTGCATTTTATCAATTTAATGAGTTTTTTTTTACAAATAATTATTAATGAAAATGAAGGATATAAATTTGAAATTTACGAATATTCGAGTAACGTTGCGCAATCTATTTTTTAAACCAAAAGATAAATATATGATGATGATGTCTGAAATTCATTTGAACCCGTTAGTTATATCATAGAAAATGTGCATAAATGTATTATTTTAAAAAATATTTTTGTCATTTCAATTATCTGACAAAAGTTTAAAAATTGTGATCAAATTGGATCTTTATGATTTTTTAAATATTTTTTAAAAATAAGTCTATGTAGGTAACTTGAAAAAATGAAACGAACCATGTTAATATGTTAAAATATGTACATTATCGAAAAAATTTTGCAAAGCTTTTACAAATTAAAAATTTTAATAGCGGGTTAGATTGTATATCTGCTTCAAATTTAGTCAAAATAATAATACTAATTATGATACTTCATTGGGAGTAGTCTCGTTGAATTTTGAAAATTAGAAGAATTTAAAATTCATTCCTAAATATTAAAAGTCATAAAATTAATTGAAAAATTTTATAATTTATCAAATACTACTCTAGTAAAAAATAAGCTTGAAGATTCAAACAGATATCTCTACTTTTTTAAAGTAAAATATTCTGATTTCGACAGATAAACAATTAAATGAATGACAACGACGTCAAATAATTAAAATCTATTAATATAGAAAAAATTCATACTCAAAAATTCGAGAATTGCATTTTATGAATTCTCATTAAATAAAAAAATGCAATTAGTAATGTTATGTATTACTATGTATTGTAGTTTTTACGTATGAATAATTCGATAAAACTTAATGATCTCCGAATGCAAAATTGCTTTAAAGCAATTTCGTTTGTGAAATTTGTACAGAGTTTATTGTAAAAAAATATGTAAATGAAAGATAAATAGCACTTAAACATATTGAGGTATAAACAATATAATTATATCTATGAGGTAGTGACAATTCGTTTTTTAGTCAGTTGCGAAACAAATGCAGTATTGATTGTTAAAAATGTGTAATATAAATTAAAATTTTTTTTTCTCATGTTTCCCATGCTTGAATACGAGATATGGTACAATGATGTGCAATCGATTTAAAATATAATTAACTTTTGACTGCTAACCTAATAAAAATGTACAAATCTATGGAATATATGTTATGACAAAGAAAATGTTTTTCACATAGTAGATTAATTTTCATATTGTAAAATATCATGAAAGCGAAAAATTATCATTTTTCACATTTAAATATAAATAGCACATATGTATGTATTATAATTAAAAAATTTCCTAAATTGTTAATGCTTTCAAAGTTTATATTACTCATTGAGAGTGTATTACTTGATAATTTTTGCAAATTGGCTCATCTTACCGTTATATTTTTAAAAAGACTGCTATTGGCTGATCATGTGTATATATTTGTTATACAAAATATTTTTTTATAAAAAAGAAAAGCAAAAAAGGGAAATAAAAATTGAAATAATTGAAATTAAATTAAACTATACTGTGAATTTTTTTTATAAAATTTTAATTTAACAATAAGTTGATGTGCAGTGATTGAAACGTGTAGTTAGTAAAACTTTGCGTGATTACAATCAAACAAATATAAAAATACATATTTCACATCTAACTGCTTTACAAACCAGATACCTTATTAATTAATTATACAAACCTCTGGTGAGAATTTTATTTAACGCCTAAAAGTTACACCCAAACTTGTACACAAGTAAAAAATAACATGTCAAGTATTGTATCAGAAATGTATTATACAGCTGAATGCATTTACATTTCTACGATCTATTGTGTTATGTTAAATTGAAAAATAATGTTTTCATTGCGACAAAAATATCTATAAATTCGTGTGCCCCACTGCCATAAACGTTAGCATGCATAAACAGACTTAAACAAAGTTAAAATTTGAATTATAAAAAATGAGACATAGAAATATAATGCTTCAAACGGATTTATGAATATTAAATATGAATTAAAAGGTGTTAAAAGAAAGTTTCACAATTTTGTAAATTTCTACTGTTTAAGATAAATTTGGACCATTATCCTAGATTATTGTCGATATTTTATGTACAGAGCTAAAGTGTTACGACTATACTTAGATGTACTGCACTAACTTTTTTACTTTAAACTATTATAACAAGTGATGTTCAGCGCGATAGCATTCTACGATGTAAAAAAACAACAAATAATTAACATCATACTTCGACGAGTAAATTAAAAATTACAGTACCAATTAATATATCAAGTAATTTGATATTATCCGAGTCTTGTACCATTTCTCTTTATGGATTTTCGATTTCAAAAATGCGTTTAATGAGTGCCTGCGTAGTCAAACGACAAGCTAATATATAAACCTAAAAATCTATTTTGATTAATTTTTATGGTTCATCGCCTGTTTTGTATTTCTCGTTTTTGTTCATTTCGCACGTTACGTCGTTTAATGATATACATCTGGTATGTAGACGAAATATTTCGTAATTTTTTCCTAAGTTAATAGAGCACGAGGAGTTTCTTTTCGATAGCGTTGTATAAAATGTTTGTTATTTAGGAGTTTCCAATTTTTTGTAACGATTGTGTATATAATTACATATATAAATATGAATATTTATATAAATAGATAAGAAAAAGATAAATTTGACCATGTAGATGAGTTTATAATTCGGTCGCAAAATAAAATATATTATAACAAAAATACAAAAAGTACATGAGAAAATTTACAACATTTTATTTTGCTTAACACGCGCAACATTGTTATAAATACAACAATGAATATCCGATCAACTATAAAGATTATGTAAAAACATTAGATTTTAAGGTGTATGTGTGAAATGTCGTTGATGAAATTCTATCTAATAATTTATTTAATTCCATTTATATACAAATATACTCGCAGCTGCCAATGCGATGATTATGATCAATAGTACACATGGTTTCAATAATGTTAAAGCAAGATTGCATTCGGACCTCTATGTCCTTTTCATTTATTATTACATATACATGCTACATTATGTAGATATAACTTAAAAAATAAATATATAAATACAAATTTATATATATTATATGTATATGTATATATGTATAACATATATGTGGGCTATTCATCCGGTTCATGTGTGTACGTGTGTCTATATTTTTGTGTCATTAGGTGTTGTGGATGCGCATATTTATACAAATTGAAAAAAATTCATAGACTAAATGCAGTAAATCTGGTGGAAAACTGCAATCATAATTCTTATCGTTATTTAGAAGAAAGAGAAAGCTAAAAAAATTAGTTATCACTGTCAATGACAATATAAGATATGTGTAAATGTATAAAAAATATATATATAATGCGCAGGCATTTTATTCTCGTACTAAAAACGCTCAGTTTTCATTTATTTTTATTTTCCGTCGTAAGCGAATATTATAACTTACATTTAGTAACAATAACTTTGTGCAATTAAGTGATTCGAAAATTGTAAATACAGTAGTTCTCAGTTGACTAAAAGAAAAAGTTTTTATGAAATAGTTACTAATATCATCAATGCGATAGTCCATGTGATTTACAGTTTGTAATATTTGTTTTACATTTTTGGGTATACAAAATGAATGTAAAACATACAATAAACAAATAGTTGCTCTTAGATTGCATTTAAGTTCTCGAAACGATAGATTTTTAACAAGCGAACGACGAATTATTGGTGTTATGAGTGGACATTTTTCTGCGTGCTGAAATGTACAAAAAAAGAATGAAATAATGCTTTAAAATATCGATTAGAAAATTTAGTTTTTTTGTGAAATAATGTCGTGAAATTTTTTAAAAACGAGGTTTTGTGCGGAACAAAATGCTGTGTGGATCATCCAACTATCGAATTACGACAGAAATTGACACTAGTGCAATTGAACCGAGTTTTTTCACTCACACGAGCTTTCATTATTTGAATATTTTGTCACTTGAATGAAAAAAATCAAGTCACGCCTGTAAGTTAATATAGATTTTGAATTTTTCATCGTGTAAATTCATTGTATTTATGATTGTATAACGGTGAAATACGTTCGAGACAAAAATATTGTATGACAATTAACTGATTAGAATGTATTTTGTCAATATTAGTATGTTAGAGTTGTTTTTCGGGGAAATTAATTTTAAATAAGCATAGACTATAAGACCCTGCTTACAAGAATACGTATTTTATTTCATTACTATCGAAGCGTTTATCATAAAAATACTTTGCCTTATAACATTCACTTATTTACTCTTTCACTGCTGCGTTAGCTAATTAATTTAGTAAAAGGGATATTTATATATTATCGAACCATGTAATGATAACAAACGGGCAATTTTTGCTGCAAAACACACTCATACATTAAAAATGTAGTTATATGTATAAAAAAGACAAGTAATTTAGTGCAATCAAGTGAAAATTTTTAAACACTGTTAAATAGATTAATGAATGAATTTTTAAATGTCGTTTTTTGTAAATCATTACCTACGCATTGCATTGTGTCTATAGTATACCAATTATATATAATATTCATAACGAAAGTAATTGAATTTCGGAAACAAGACATTCTTCGTAAATTTTTTGTTTACGATCAAATGTAATCTAATGCCCGATTGAACATTAAATGATAAATAGACGTTTTTAATGCATTAGAGAGAAGAGAAAAGAATAATTGATGTGAAATTCGTACGATATAATAACTAATCAAATATTCGTTGTGTATTTTAATTAATCAAGACTATGCGCATCGAGAGAAACTAATTTGCGACAAGAAAAAGATGTTTCCTATTTATATATACGATACTTATTATGCTATGTGAATCGAAACGAATAGACCGTCGATGCTTAGTCTGTGTAAACTGTTTCTATAATAGGACTGTTTATCGAAATATTATTGTCGTAGTGTATCATACATTTTTTTCGTTGAGCAAGAACTTGCGATTACTTAAATATATATACGTTACATAATTATGATAAATAACACCGACTAGAATTACAATTATAAAAAAGTGGGAATTTTACGAAAAAAGGTAATAATTAGTGTAAAATGGTAAATGAGTGCTGCATGTTTGCATTTGCATATCACTCTCATTATGATGATAAGAAATGAAAAAATGTCAAATGTGTTACTATTCTTCATATATTCATGTTAATTATTGTTATAATTATTTTAATGTTAATAACATTTTGTATCTAATTAGATATCCGTCACCTAATACAAATATAATAATCAAACTGCAGATTTAATAAATAGTTTTGCAAATTGAAAAATAAATTTCCAATTGTGTTTTTATTAAATCATTATCATTTCACAATTCCCCTATCGATCAAAAAGGTTTTCTTGGGATGAAAAGAAAAGGTTGAAAATTACGTTCTATTAAACTCTCGCCGTAGCAAAATAAAATCAGTATTTTTTATTGAATATATGATATATTTATTTTAATTAAATTACTCAACAAAAAATTTGTAGTAATGAAAATATGTAGCAATTTAAATTTTTTGTAATTTTATGCCTTTCAAAAATTCTAATCGCTATTGAATTACCCGCGTTTAGACCGGCATGTTTCAGTGAGCGATTGAGATTGCAGACGACTAAAATTGCAGGTTCGTACATTGTAGGTTATGAAATAGAATGGCGAATTGCTAATATTTTATATCAGTCAGTGAGAAAATTTTTTTTAATTTCATAATCTGCACAACGTGATTTGTTGTTAATTGAGTGTTAATTTGTCAAAATGCCGACCTACGAGATGCCATTGCTGCTTCGCACTATGTCAAGAGTAATAATAAATACAAAAATTGACGTTTTAATAATCAAACGTAAATATGGTAATTTGTTATGTGATTTTTATAGCCAGAGGTAGTAAACACATTGAAACGAGCTGCTGAGTCAATTTTTGATAAAGGTGGCTTTATTCGACAAATTGACAACCTAGGGTTAAAACCCTTGCCATACAGAATGTCTGCGAACAGTAGAATACATCATGAAGCTAAGTGAGTATTTAATGGTCATCTAATTTCAATTGCTACAATTACTTTAATGAAAAAACATTTTTTTAATGAAACATCCATGTATAGCAAATAAAATATAATCAATAGTAGATTAATATCCAATTGTACTTTATAGTCATTTTGTTCTCCACTTTGATGCTCCTCCTGCAAAATTAGTTAAAATCCAAGAAGAATGTTTACGCGATGTTGATGTAGTAAGATGCAAAATTTACAACAAAATTGTACCAGAAGAAATGCAGTGCACATTCCATGAAGAGAATTTACCTCCAGCTTACAGGTACATATACAAGATATTTACTTTAATCTAATTTTGATTTTATAATAAAAATACAGCAATCGATTGAGAAATGTATAGTTTGAAAATTGAAAATCTAACATACGTAGTCTTGTATACTTATATTGACTTTTGTTACACTAAGTCTGATTTGAACAGTTAAAACTTTTTTTTAAACATGCAGTAATGCCATTCTTTTTTTATTACAGACCAACTGTGCAGAAGATGGTTGCTATTGGAGAAAAAGCCAAAGCTAAAAAAGAGAAGAGGAAGTTTAAATTTAATACTGGATTAGATTACTATCCTTTCCAAAGATAGACAGTTGAGGTCTTATTGTTTATTGTATATATTTGTTGAGTAATAAAATAATTTTGAAAATCTATTTGACTATCTATTCTCAATAACAGTACATAATATGGGTTCAAAAAAATGAAGAAGTCATGAAAATTTTTAAGTGGCACTCAGTGTCACACTTTTTAATAATATTTTATTATATTTTATTTTATTTTTAGTACATTCTTATATCTCATTAGATTATTTTAACAATTTTTAAATACAATGACCATAAGATTTGTTTTTGTTTTCATTCTATACATAAACATTTTCATGTTTACATTAGTTTAATACTTAAAATGGAAATTTATATTCATGATAGATGTATCTCTTTGAAATCAAGTGCAAGTAAAAGTTACATTGCATCTCCTGCGCAAAAGAGTTTCATTTGTCAATTAAATCTTAACAAGGTGAAAATGGCTCAGTACATTTTTATGATTATTTATAAATATTTTTTTCTGTACTTCCAGAGTACCAATTAATATTTAAAAAAGGCTAACGTCAAAAAAGGGAGTTTCTCAAGATTTTTCATAGTCTGTACGAAAGTATAATTATATTTAAAAAAATATCGTTATTTCCCTTGCTTCATGTTTGCAATAGATATAAAAATCTTCTCGATTAATATATAGTCTTTGATTCTGCAAATATATTTTTGGAAGGCTTCGTTCTTGGACCTCGAGCAACAATTTACATGTGTCTTGTGTTGCCAAAGTTTATGCCGCTCTGAGTGGCACCTTTGTTGCTACCATATTGGAGACTGATGATACCTTGACCGGCCTTGAGCTGCTCCTCGGAAAAGTTGCGAATGTTTTTGTCGGCTTCTTTGGGTCCGATGCTCGGCATACCGTAATTGCCAGCCTGCAAGTTACGAGAGAGTTAAAATTTTCAATCACGTACGTCAATCGAAAGGCGATAAGAAAGATCGCAATGAGCGTAGTTTACCTTTCTACCGAGAGATTGAAGGCAGGTAACGACAGAATTCAGATTCTGTCTTTCCCAAAGATCGACGGTCTGGAAGCTCTCCTGAGCTGGTACTCCCAAATCGCGAGCCGTCTCGAGGAAACCATTGATATTTTCCATGCATTTGAACGCCATAGTGGACTGATTAATTTTTCTTACAGAGTTAGGCTTGATGCAGTTAACCAGTCTGCGGAAAAAATTGCAATAAGAATCACGTACTATTTTTTAAAAGAAAAAATGACAAAATGTAAAAATATAATCAGATTCTTACCGGCAAAGCAGCGTACCGTCTTTCAAGGTGTCGTAAAAGTTGTCCATATCTCCGCTTGTGTTGATGTTTTCGTTGGTGATCGTTTTGATCCATTCTAAGCTCTCTTGGGCCAATTCTTCGCTGTATTTACTGTTGATCTGGAAAAATAGAAAAAACAATTATTATCATAGTCTCGATAAACGTGTAAAAAACTACTTTTAAAGTCGATCATAACGCAAGCTACACACATGAAAATTGAGAATCAACCACGAGAAAAAATATTCCAAATTATTTTTATGTAATTTGCTGGAAATAATTGATTTTTTAGCGCTAATTTATCGTGTATTTTTATATCGCACTTTTTCATATGTATAGCTATGAAATCTCATTAACATTGAAATTAGGAGAGACGTTTTTCTTTTTCGAGTGAAAAAAATCAATTCACGAGTAGAAGGAATTAAATTTTCATAAAACTACGCGTCACTTGTCACTACGTCCTGTGTAGTGATAGGTTAAAAATATCCGTTACATTGATGATCTCATCTTTAACCGATAGCAGAGACTAAACCTCATCTACGATGATTAATAGGCACGTTAAACACGTTACTTCATGAATAAATACGAGTGCGAATTATTTCGACCAAAATTAAAAAATCGTAACAGATAATAAATCACCTGAATCGATTTTTACGGCTCAATAAAATTTGCGTTAAGGAACAGACGTCGTGTAACTGTAACGATGTAAGATTACCGTCGTCGAACGTTTCCTTCAGTGCGATATATACATAAAGGCTCAATAACACAACAGCGATGTCACCTATTCATTCAAATAAACTCGTTAGATATCGCTCTTGGACGTTTGTTTGACCAAGCGAGAAAGAAGTTACTTGTTCAATGAAATATATGTATGCCGCACGTATACTTCCGCCTATAATTCCTTATTGTAATCGTTCTTTTTTTAACGATTTACATCGTTTCTTGTTGATGCATGCGTAAGTGCAAACTTTTATCGCATGTTTTTCTTCAAATGCGATGATTGGTTATTTCCAATCATTAGAAATAGAACAAAAAACAAAAAAATATGTAATACGTGTTTCGCATCAATGTCTGAGCATGTACATTTTGCATACAACATATTGTTTCTTAATGCCGAGTCAATATCGAAGTTACCGAGTCGTAATGTATAATTTTAAAATTTGTGGCTCGAAAATGAACTTGTTGTTGCAAATTTTCAAGGATTAATCACGAGTATATTGGACATACAGTGCTGCAATGATTTTCTTGCACATTTTTTTTTATCACACAGTGGCCTCGACGACGTCTATTGTGCGTGTTTATATTTAGGAATTAGCTAAGACCTGAAGCATATTGTAGCTCATCATGCACTATAACGACTTAAACTTGCGCCTCATCACAGAGACTTCCTCGAATGGGTGAAGTCTGAGAGCGATATGAGAATTTTATTTTTTCCCTCGTGAAGGATCCAAAACTAACAAAACAGAATCCTGACAATTTTTACAAACAAATCGGCTAATGAATCATACATTTTTGATAATCAGATTACATGGTACTAATTACGATAAGCAATAGATAGTTTAACGAAATTTCTAAATGGATCGAGATTTAAAAGCAAATTTAGATTTGATTGAATCATAGATAAAACAACAGCCTTTAATCTTTTTCGCATTTTCACTACGATAGTGAATTTAATCAAGTCTTTACAATCACGGAAGATAGTTAAGACGATAAGATTTTAAGTATATAAATCGTTGAATGAATCATGGTACAAGAGTCAGCAGTAATAGTCACGTTTGTTAACTGAATATCTGCTAAAACTCCTTTTTCTCATTTCCACAACACAATACATGGAGCTCGTATTTGTAATTGAAAGCTCCATCCACTTTATTACACATTTACGGTGCGATCCGAATTTTGCCTGTAAATTTGCAGTAGCAGTAATGCATCTACTTGAGGTCATCGTAGCGATCATCGGGGGGTAAACTCATGTTCGTTAATTAGCTCTCGGTCAGATAAGTCAGCGACCTAAATGATGCTGGTTTGCTGTGCAGCTTGCGCGCGACCGCGAGCGAGGCACAGCCTACACAGCTACACCGTGCGTTTGCACAAGACTGTTATTCAGCGGCAAAATCCGAGGGTCATATTCGTAAGTACGCTCATTTCTGCGTTTACGAGAAATAGTCATCAAACACGGTTGATCTATCGCAAATTGTTGCGCGCGAAAAACAGGACGGAAAGTTTAGGCCTTTTGTTCAGAAAAAATTTGCTGTTGTTTTTCATTTCGTTTTCTCCATTTTTTTTGTTAATAATAATCCAGGAAGCTCTTTTTTCTCGATAAACTCGTAAACTCCTACCCACTGTCTCGCAGACACGCACAATAATAATAAATACAATTCAAGCGCATCTATCATCGTTGCACAACTGATAAATGATTTTGATGTCATCATCGGTATATATAATATAACATTTTATACATAATCTCGCTACTCGTGCTTTTCTCGGATCTTGCGGTATAATAATGACCAAGGTCGCTGCCATATACGGTCGAAATTTGCCTCGGCGTCTTTCGCACATCATCATTTCAACGAGATAGAGAGGAGCAAGAAAGAGAGAGAGAGAGAGACAGATAGACCCCCATACATGTATAAGCCAAAGCGTGGAGCTGACTACCAAGTCATGAATTTTTCAAGATTCGAGGCACGTGCGCGCCTAGAAACTACGAGTTGTATGGTCTGCACCTAATGCGGCTGCGTAGGGTATCCGTGCGGTAAAAAGTGTGGAAAATTTTGCGATGCAGCTTGTTGTTTATCTTGTACTTTTCACTTGACAATAAATTCGAATGTCACAAGAGGCGTAAACAAAATTGATCGGTTACATGCTGCATTACTCGAACCGTCGAAAATGATTCATTATTGGTGGTATGGCATATAGAGTGAAAACTTGCAATATCCTTATATATCTCGCACTTTTCGAGGATGACTGTACAAGGCGCTAATACTAATGGCTGCTTAAGGTCGAGAGCTTATGGTACTCCCAAGAGAGAGATCGAACGCGTACACACGTAAACTCAGAGAACGACGTTTACTTGGTTCGATGTATTTACGTGTTATACACACTGCACGATGGACTCTTTTTTCGCGAAGCGCTTTCGCAACTTATGCTTGTATATTATTTTAACGTTGCGAGCTTGCTCAATGTGTATGTATAAACTCGATGCGCGCGTACATTTGGCATTTTTGTTTCTCGCTCAGCCGCGCTCGGGTGCCTCCCCGGCTCTCCGCGGTGAAAGCAATTTCGATTCCTGAGAACTTTTTTTCCTCCTCCTCCTCCGCGCGTGGACTCTTGTGCCTTCGTGAAAATATGAATATATGAGCGAGCTTAATTTTCATTTTGATGAATGGATATAATGTAACATTTGGGTAAAGAGCTGAAAAGATAAGAGCGAGAGAGAGTTGAAAAATCGGCAATAAATCGGAATGCATAAAAGCCGAACCACATACGTGTGTACAAGAACTGCTGAGTGTCTAAGGGAGTGGATATGTGTACAGAATATACACGAGTCGAGGCGCGCTTTGAACACCCGAAGGAAAAGTTCGCGTACTTGCTATACACTTACACACAAACGTGTGCGCCTGTGTGTATATAAAGTACGCCTGCGAGAAAGAAAGAATGCCGCGGGAGTACCGTTTTGCTACAACCGAGTCAGGAATTTGCAACGGCTGAGGACAGTGGAAGATTTTTAAAATTCACAGAATATATAGGCTCGATATACATACATAATAATGTGTATATATTCGCGTATAGTACTTGTAACATCCAAGTAGGCGACTGTATTCTATGGCTTGCGCAAAAGTAACACGATATATTCATCTTACACTGATGTGTATAATACTCATCCGTCGTGCGAATCCTTTAAACATTGAACTTGAGCTCCGATGACGCGTCCGTATTACAACAAATATATGTATATTATAAACGCACACGTAGAAGCAGTTGCGTGACGTGGGCAAGGTGCTGTATCAAACGCGAGCGCGACAGACAGCGAAAAGCCTTTTTTTCTTGTCAAATAGCGCCCCGCGATAATAGCTGGAGAAACGAACTACAAAATCAAGAAAAAGAAAGCGAAAACAATTCGCAATTGGACAAGCGAGTTTACAAGTTTGTGCGTCTGTTTGGTTTCTTCTTCCTTATGGCTGAAAAGGAAATCACGTAAACGCGTACATATAGAGAACACGAGACTCCTTTTTGAAGGCGAATTTCCAAACAAATCTCGAGCACATAATTCAAGTAACGGAGCTACACAATATATAAACGTTGCCGAAACTCAAGTCGCATGAAATAATGTACACTTTTAAAAGTCAATCGTCGACAATGGCACATAACGTGTTGTTGTAGACGAGGTGGCACACACCGGCTTGGATTTTTATCAGCGGCGTGTGAGTGCCGCGACTACATATACGCGATATGCATTGCCGAGAGTCCGCGCAAATGCTTGCCGTGCACGAGTATAGCTTTATATACCATGCCCTCCTATATCCAGCTAGACGATTCGAACTTTCGATCTCTCTCTCTCTCTCTCTCTCTGTATAATGTTACTCTCGTTGAAATACAAGTCGGACATTTTTTAAAAGTTTTCTCTCTATACAGTATATACGTACGGTGTATACATACAGAAGGCGTGATAACGAAAGTATTTTATTATGTTGTACTTGTTTCGTGCATTAACGCTCGAGCTCCGCGTGTAATGTATGTATACGTGCCCTGTCTCCGCGATGGCTTCCCGAGTCTGTATACAGATTTTACAAGCCTATAATGTTTTTATTTATAAACTGACGGCGACGACGCGAATCTGTAACGCGTTCTCGATCCACCTTTACTTATGCTTTAATATATACAATATACATGTGTATACCGATCGCCCCCTCGGTGAAAATATCGATCTAGTGCGTGACACGATTGCCCGTGCATTAACGAAAGAACGAAAAAAAAAACAATAATTCACAATAAGTCAGCTGTCACAAGGCAAAGTTGCGAGGTTTATATTTGTATTTTCGTGATTCACCGGGATCGGAATGCACATTTCAGCTTCCTGAACTTACGTAAACGGCGGCGGCTCGTGTATTTTATTATCGCGGCTCGA